CAAGCTTTTGAAAGCTTGCAACAGAAACTCAAGGACACTCCAAACGCATTTTGGCTTCAAAATAGCCTGTCCATCAAAGGCTTTCATCCGAAATGAGCCTGGTGTCCGCTCCTGCTCCTCACCCTGGGCAGCCCATGCTCAGCTGAGACCCTGTTGCTCTTTGACATCTGCACTGGGGATGTTTCCCACGCAGAAGAGCAGTGAAGGCAAAACCAGAGAGATTTCATTGAAAAGAAAAGCTTCCCAGGCAGACCTCAGCAGCTCTATTTACTGCACCTTAACTCCAGCTCCTGCTAAATCCTCCTCTTTGCCATCCTTCAAACAACACCTCTTTGTAACACTCCCAACACTTGGCTCCAGCCTGCAAGCTGGAGCGATGCAGAAGGGTATTTAGATAGACCCAACTCAGACTGAACAGGAGCGGGCGATGCAAAGCAGCTAAAATCCACATTGTATAGAGGTTTTTAAAGGGTTGTAAGTAGATTGTGCAAAACATTGCTCATAGCCCGGGAATGCCAGGCTGTAACGTGCTTCCTTTCTGCCCCAAACAGCATGAAAACCTGCTGCTGTCTTGGAATTATGGCACCGGGAATATAATATATTATCGTATTGTATTATATAGTATTGTATCACGTAGATTCAGGGCTTGGAGCCCTGCGAGGTGTCCCCAGAGCAGCTGGCTGGTGGTGGTGGGCGATGCTCTACCTCTATAACGTAGTCCTTGGTGTGGAGGTGTGGTGCTGACTGCTCTGCGGAAGAGCAAGAGGAGCCCGTCGGGGGCCTTGTGTGCCCCCAGGAGCTGGTAGTCCTGCTGGGAATCCATGTGGAGCTGCCCCTTCTCGTCGCTCCAGGCATCCTACGGGAGGAAAACCACCACCGTGAGCAGGTAACCATGAGGTTTGCTCAGCACAAAGCAGCCCTCCATCAAAGATTAAACCCTGGATGTCCTGTAGCATCGGCCCAGGAGATCCCTGTCCCCTGCTTAAAGCCCTTATTTCACTGTGACCAGACTCTGCTGCTCTTCCTGAAGCAGTTCCCTCTGCAGCAAGGCCTCCAGAAAAGGACTCCTGGTTAATGATGGTGACAAAGTCTCCCAGAGAAGCAAAGCAGGGGATTAATCCAGTGCTTAAAGAACTGAAGGTCTGGCGTATAAAACCCTGCAGGAATCTGTGGCTCAAAGGGAACAGTGTCACCGTCCTGGTCCTTTTCATCTCCCGTTGATGCCTTTTGTCTACCAAGAAGAAGAGCCGAGGAGCTACCTCGCTGCAACTATAGCAGTGGCATCATTTTTTTTTAATCTCAGGGGAATAAAAAGGGAAGAAAAAGAATAAAGGCTCCTGGCATCCTCTCAGCCAGAAGTATGGCATGATATTTCTAGAACATATTGTCCTTAGAGGGGGAGAGTAAAATCAACTAGATGAAGCTAGCGTGGCATTTGTTTTTAGAGGAGTATGTGGTGCAAATTAATCTTGTAGCACATGGGGGGTTAAGCAAATTTGGAGCTTTTTAACAGCTGATGTACTTATCCAGAAGAAAGGCTGCTGAGAGCAAAACCCGGAGCTGTAGAGACTTACAGAAATCTCCTTGCAGTATTTAAAAGATGCTATTGAGCACCCACTGAAAGAGAAAGCCGAAATGTTGCACGCATGCTGTTTAATTCAGCACTGTTTTTCTCAGGGAGAGCACAGGAACACAGATTAGAAATGATCTTTTATGGTTTTTTAACATGATGCTGTGAAATACTGTAGCATTTAGGTCGTCACACATCCTGAATGGCTGGTAATTAGCAGGAAAACAGCACAGATAATAAGCCCTCCTTTTCAGCCTTTCATTATGCTGCAGATCACATTGCGGCTGATGGGGGAAAGAATATATTTTATGGTTAATTTCAAGGAAGTGGAGAGGTACAAATTTAACTTACTGGAAAGCCTCACACAGGGAAAAATGTGAATTGCTTTCTGCAGCGAAGCGCGGTCGCAATAAGCCTAACCTGGCTGTCGGGGGACAGGTAACTGCTGGAGAGCACGGGATTAGTTATTGTAACTACAGCCCCGGTGCAAAGATAAATCAACAAAGAACCTACTAAAACATACCGTGTAAAAAAAAAATCCAAAAAACAGTAATTTGCAGTTGCAGAATCAAATAGCAAAATCTGAAATGCGTTTCCCCCGCACCCTGTTAGCGCCAGGCGTTTCTGTGCTGCCTGGGCACATTTGCATGCTTAATTTCTGATACCGCCGCTGCTGGCGGTTGCCGTCAGGTTGTGTTTTCCCGGGTCCTGTTCTCTTTGCGGTAGCTCCGAGTGTGAGTTTTGCTGGGCTGATTGATGCTGGCAGGAGCTGACTTTCAGCAGGCAAACTTTTGCGCTTTCTCGAAGTAATTAATGAGTGCTGGTTAATTTTTAGTGTGTCAGACAGAAGTGCACGAGTGAACCGAGTTGATGATGCCTCCTGCTTCAGGGCGTGTGTGTGTGTTTTGAGCTGCTGTGTGCAACCACCTGCGAGAGCATTTTGGAGATAAATGCGACAAAGTCCCCCGATTTGGGGTCTGCTCTCAGCCTTGGTGAGCAGTGGGTGACTGTTCTCCTGTCCTCCGAGGTCCCCCACGCGTAGCCCCCGTTGAGACCCGCGTGAGCAGCTTACCCCGAAATACGAGTTGCGCCCATCGCTCCAGAGCACGGCCAGGTCCGCGTTCTCGAACTCGCCCCGGTCCGACATCCCAAAGAGGAGCCCAAACTTGGGCTCCTTGACCAACACCTGGAAATGCACCACGCGCAGCGGGTAGCTGACGTTCCAGGAGAGCTCGAGCATCCCCTGGGGATCCAGCGGCACCTTGTAGGGGAAGGGGCTCTCCCGGGGAGCCGTCCCTTGCAGGGCCACCACCAGCACCACCAGGAACACGGCGATCGTGGTGAAGTACATGGAGGCCACCTCCCGCATCCTGAAGCCGGGGCACGGCGCGCTCCCGCAGGGCTGCATCCCGGCGCGAGGGACACGAGCGCGTCCCGCTCGTGGCCATTTATGCGCTGGCCGTCCTGGACGAGCCGAGCAAGCGAGGCCCCCTAATCGCATTTGCTGCTTGGGAAATTGGATTGCGGTATCGACCCCCCCCACCCCGACCTCCTGGCCAAACACTTGTCATGCTCTGCCTTCCCCTTAATTGGCTCTAATTGCACATGGACATTATCAATAGCAATTGGACTGGACTGCGCGCCGGTTATTCGCTCTTCAATCATCCCGAGCGGCTGCCAAGGGCTCTTCACCTGCAAGCGGCTCTGGCCAAGCCCGCTCGCTTGGCCCGGTTCTGCAGCACCGACGCTCCAGGACCGTCCCCAGGAGCCTCTCTGGGCACAGTTTTAGGGAAAGCACAATCCCATCTCCCTCGGACCTGCTCCTCTAGCCCCTTTCAGGCAATCTGTGCTGATCCCGTTATGGTCTTGGCCTCGGATCGAAACAGGTTTTTGCATGTGGCCTCTTCCTCCCTCTCCTCCTCCTCTCACCCCGGTGACCGGGGTCCTGTTTTCCTTGTGCCCACATGCAAACGTGGAGCTTGTGTTGCTCTGTGCATGCACCGCTCTCTAATGGCAGCTCTATTATAAATAATTATCTGCAACAACCCATTCCCATCACGCAGAAAACCTTCCTCCTTGTTCTTTGTGGGTGTCTCTGGAAGGGCAGATGGACGCGGTGCTGCCCGCGGGCCATTTCTGTATTTATTTATTGTTTGCAGGCTGGTCTCGACAGCGACATGTAACAGAAACCCGAGCTGCCTCGGGCCTGGCAGTGCTGAGCAGGGCTCCAACAGGGTCATTCCTGGTGCTCCAGCTTTGGGGACAGCCCCCCAGCTTCCCAAATCCCTCTCCTATCCCCCCTTCCAAGCCCCTCCAGGGGCTGTGCTGCTTGCAGAGGGCACCGCAGGGACTTGGAGCAGTTTTCCAGTTGGAGATGAGGGTGTTTTCGGGTTGCAACTCTCGTGGGACCAAACCTCAGCCCTGCTCACAGAGCTCCTGCCCTTCCTGCTCACGGGTGCACCTGGATCTGCGCCCTGGGAGCACCGGGATGAGCTCCTCCTTTCCAACGGGATGGAGCAGGTATGGGGACGAGAGGAGCGTGTCAGCTCAACACGGATTGTTTGGAGAATGATCCCGCGAGGCCGAGTGTCTCGGGAAGAAGGAGGCAAATGGGAGATGCTGCGGGCTTGGAGATCTGCTCTTGTGCTTTCTATGGATGCGACTGGCACAGAGGAGCCCTAATGCTGAACGGGGGCCTCTTCTGAGCTCCCATGTGGCAAGTACTGACAGTGCTTTAAATATTTTCCTTGCAAAGCTAAATTTCAAAGAAAAACACTCATTTACTTTTTTCCCCCCAAAGAGCCAGGAAACCTTTTCAGCTTCTTGTCTTTCCTCTCTTCTCGCTTTGCCTGGTTCATTTCTGGGCAAATCTTGCAAGGCCAGAGTAACAACAAAGCCAAAATAAGGGTCCCCAGGCAAGGCACAGCTCTTCCCGAGCCCTGGCTTTGCTCGAGCACCCTGTCTGCTTCGGGGATGTTAAATAGCTGATATTTCTTTGCTTTTGTGGCTGTTGCGACTTCAGCTTGAGTTTAAACACACCTTGTGTCCCCTAACCTCCTGATTCCTTTAAAGCCCCACGCCTTCCCTTTCGGTCATTAGCGCTGGTGTGTTAATTGGGATGATAATGAGTTACCTCGAGGTGCCAGTGCCCGCGCGCTGTGTCACTTTGCTCTTGTTTTATTAATGCTGGTGCCCGTTCCAAGCGCTGCCCGCAGATGGGAGAAGTCCCCCTCCCCGGTCCCCTCCGGCGCTTGGGTTTCACTGTGCTCCTCTGAGCAATGTCACGGGGCCAGAGCTGCGTTTCCCAGCCCCGGGAATGGGAGGGAATGGATGCAGCCCAGCGCCGGGGTGTTTTAATGCACCGTCGATGCATCAGCTCCGGGCTGACGTCGATGAGGTTTCACTGCCCCAAGCTATGGACGTTATCGGGACAGGCGGCGATTGATCCAGAGCGTCTCTCCTTGCTCAGTGACCTGCTGGTGAGAGGTGCTGCTCACTTGCAAGCACCAGGTGAAGGTCCCGGCATGCCCAAACGTTGCCTCCCAAGACAGATGTCTGGTTGCAGTGCAAAAAGCCCTGAAAACTCTCTTTTTGCCCCATTTTAAACCTCCTCCAGGCACAGCCCTGCACGCTTCTCTTCCTCTTTTCCCCTGATTGCATGGGGAAAGGAGCAGAGCCTCCTCTGGGGGAGGAGAGTGCTTGGGGAACAAGCTCTCCCTCCATCCAGGAGCGATGCAACCACCGGTGCCTGGCAGATGCACGTGGCAATCCCAAGCTTTTCTCTGCAGATGGGATTTGCAGCGGAACAGCTTGACGCTGGCAGGTCAGCCTGAAAACAGCTGAACTTTGGAGATAAGCAGTGAGAATTATTTAAAAAGAATAATTTTGTGTATGTAGATATATATATAATCTCCCTTCAATTTCTCCTGAGTAGATGCCTATAAATCCGCGGCTCTGTGTGCCCTGCAACGAGCAGCCAAGGCTGGAACAGACGCTCATAGGTAGGAAGGTTTAAGCGCGAGTGATGCTCTGCGTTGGGGATTGAAGCAGGCAGCGCCCCTGCGAGCTATAATAAATCGCCTCATTGCCATAAAGGTAAATTCGATTTGGGCCGGGGAGGACGTGGGCTGTCTGCACGTGGCTCTGGCAGGAGAGCCGGGAAGAGGCCGAAGTTTGGGAGCATCCTTGGGCCCCGCTCAGCATCCCGAGAAATCCCTCCCCGCAGCTCCCTCCGGAGCGCGGCTGCAGCTCAGGCACCTAATGAAATCCCGCTTGGCTGTGCGTGCTATATTAGGGTTACCATGGATATGGCACCACAAACACGGGGCTCTGCCTTTGTTATATAAACAGGAGAGATTGCCGCAAATATCCAGGAAAGGAGGGGAAGAGACTAATGCGTCCCTTGGGTGCGCTTATGAAAGCCAGGATGGGCTGTGCGGCCGAGTGGGTAACTCCAGCGGGAGATGGGAGGGATGCGGGTTTGGGATGAGGTGGTGGCCTCAGCCCATGGCAGCAGCGTCCAGGTCAACATCCCTCCCCTGCCACACAGATCCCGGTGCACACGCGTTGATGCAGCTCATGCGCTTGGATATCACCAGCAGCTGGCGGGGGACAGTCCAGTGACGTGGTGGGGACATAAACTTATCTGTTGTCCCACACCTGAGCCCGCTCTGCCTGCAGGAACCGGCTCATGTTGTGCCAGCTCAGGTACAGAAAGTCCCTGGCACAGCTTGAGGAGTCACGTAACTTGAAGGAGAAGCTGCTCTAGAAATGGAGGTGGCATGTAAGGGAGATGGAAACATCAGAGTGGCTAAAATTGTATTGCACTCCCACTCCCCTGCCAATAAAAACACCATAAATAAAGCGGCTTTGCAATAACCATCTCCACGCATTGTAGCACAGATCCGCGTGTCCCTGCAAAAGATGCTCCGTGCAGGATAAACTGTGGCTCCATCCTGCTAGAGAAGCACAAAATCCTTGTCCCAGGCCGACCACCACGATGGGTTTTCATGTCTCCTCCCACAGGTGCTGTCACCAAGTCCCCAGCCAGGCCCATCAGTGGTTCCTTTTCCTGCCTTCCATGCTCCTCTGTGGGTGACATCCCTATGATGACATTGCTGCTTCCTGTCCCTCGTGTCCTTCCAGATGTTCTTCACCTCGGGGCACTTGCTCAGCCATTAGTTTTCTCTCCTATTGCTCTGCCTCCTAGTCCGGCACATACCTTGCCATGCTTCATTACTTAGTCTGTGGTGAAGAGTGCCAAGTTCAGAAAGATCCCCTTCATCATTTAAAAACATATCAAACCCAGATTTCACTCGTCAGGCGTTCAACACTCAACATTTCCCTTCTGCACTACCTGTCACCTCTGATTTTGCAGGCCTTGTCTTAACATTCGTGAATCACTCCATCATATGGCTGGAGAGGTGGGGAAATGTTCTTAGTTTTGGCAGAAAAACACAGAAAAAGGAGCTGGAGCTCATGGGTCAAGGGGAGGCCTATCTGCCATGGGAGTTTGCATGTGGGAAGGTGGATGCCGAGACCTTTTGCCTGGTTTCTGCACCATGGTTTTTTCCAAAAGACTGATGCCTTCCTCATTGCTTTTCCTTGTAGCCACTGTTTCCCGGCACTGAGCTGCTTCCTAAAGTTCACATGGAAAGCCAGCATCGGCACCAAGAAGAGCTACGCCAGAAGAAGATGTGGGAGTGAAAGAGCCCAAGGAATTTGAGGATGGAGCCTTAGCAGCTGGGTTGGAGCTCCCAGGCCTTGAGCTGCCCTGTGTGCTTGATGTTCCTACCAGGCAAGAGAGCAGAGATAGAATAAAAGATAGAAATAGTGGGTAAATATGATCTGCTTCAGAAAACTCTCCTTGACTTCGGTACAGGTAAGTCCAGAGCTGCAAACGTCTTGACATCCTTTGAAGGGGTCAATAGGCTTGAAGGGGAAGGTGTTTCCAGTAGACACTGTCTCTTTGGCTTTCCAAAGGCTGTGTGAGAAGATCCTGACCTGTTTCCACCATGGCTTGACTACCAGGGAAATGAGGATTAGGCTCCCACTCCTCTCACAGCCTTTTAAACCCCGCATTCCCGCATCCTATTCCTGCGCGATTCCTGGGACAAGGTTTGCTCCACATGGGACGTGAGGGAATTGGTGCTGAGCATCCTTAAATTCACCTCTCCGCCCGCATCCCCCTGCCTTTTCCCGGCGCTCGGAGCCGGAGCGACGGCGGCGCGGGATCGCGTTACAGCAAGTTGAACACGTCGTGTTGCGCGCCGGGGCGCGCGGGAGAGCGTCGGCTTCGGCCCTTGCTCGCAGGCACAGGGAGATGAGCACAGCGAGCGTGAAGGACACGAGCTCGCAGGGCCGTCAGCTCAGGCTAAAACAACTCGCTTGAGATGCAGTTTTTATTTCTTGCTGCTTTGTTAACCACAGCAGTGGGTGGCAATAGGTACAGCGGAGGTGACAAGCTGTGGTTGGGTCTATGGTTGCAGGAGAGCCACGTTGCAAGCCCGGTAGCTCCCATATCCCTGGCTCTGCCTGGGAGGGATTAAAGCAGAGGGGAGGAAGGCTGTTATTAAGAGCAGAAACCTGGGAATCAGATGGCTGTTTACACCTAAACCAAGCAATTTGCACCTTGGAAATGCAGCGAGGGTGACTAAGATGCTCTGCAGCCTGATTCTCTGTGACCTTTTAGCAATATTAAGTGTCCTCTGCTAAAAATTAGCTGCACTACTACTAGGTTCCAGCACTATGAGCCACTTGGGTGCTAAACGAAGATAATATTGTGGACAGTTTGGTCCCAAGTTTGGCACGAGGTGTGAGAAAAGGGAGAATTTGTGGCGGCAGGAACCTACTTGAACGTGCAAACTTACTGAGGGGTGACACTGCGAGCAGTGTCAGAAAAAACAGTTGCTTTTAGCCTCCAAACTTTGCATCAAACCCACAAATAATTCAGCTCCCGGACGCTTCTGATCTGTTATCTCAGAGCCGTGGCAGCACAGGGACCTTTCCCAATGAGCAGGAAGGGAGAAAAGGTGCAGCTGGCCCCTTGCCAGCTCGACAGGTGAGCAAATGGTTCCCTTCTGCAGATCCCAGATTAGCATTTTCATTGAGTAAAAAAATTACCTTCTAGGCTCTACGGGACTACAGTTTTCTTTGCATCCAGGGTCCGTGCAGCACAGTGGGCCCTTGCTCACGCTGGAGGTCCTGCATGCTGCTGCAGTACAGAAATAGGTGATAAAACCTTCATAACATGGATAACTGATCTTCACAGGCTTGCTCTGAGAGCAGACCTTGCATTAGAGTTTTGGAGAAATATATTGTTCAAGGTAGCCCAAGTATCTGCGAGTCCTTGTTGTAACATTGGTTCTCCTTCCGTCTATCCTGTGCTCGGATTAGTGGAGAATTACTTTGATGTGTTCATTAAAAAAAAGCAGCTTGGGAAGCAAGGAGGCTGCTTATTTTAATGCAGGGATGCAGACATTGAAACTAAAATGACTGGCCCAAACAGAGACCCTCTAACTCTGTCTCTCACCCCTATTTCCGAACAAAGATACAATGATAAACTGCCAGACAACAATGGTTGACCCGCAGAAGAAATAAAAAAGCTAAAATAGTATTTTCTTGGCATAGCCCTTCAATATTTTTTGCGCATAGGCCAAGCAACCTTCAAATGCAGCTGCGCAGGAGCCATGAGGCAGGCACTGCAGATCTAACCAATGCAGTCTGTAATAATCAAAAAACAAAAGTCTTGATCAGACCCTAAAAAGATAAACGATTTCTTGTCCCCTTTCTCTCATTTCTTGTCAGCACCCTGACAGTTTGTTTCAGATCCCTGCACAGACGTTTGAACTGAGTACAAAGTGTGCTGAAACTACTGGCAGTAATTAGCTTGTTTAGGGAGCAATTAATTAAATGCTACTGTTTCCCCTCTCTATAGATTAAGAGTGCTATAAGGGATATCATCTTAAAAAGAGCAGATGCGTTACAAAAGCATCAGAGACCAAATATTTTCATCGGGCAACAAAGACGGAGCAAGTGTTCATGGACTGAAACTGCAGAAGAGAAATATTAAGTTGAATATGAGGAATAACTTGGGAACTGTAAGTGCGTGTGCGGCGATGGAAATTCAAGCTACTGGGAGCAAGGCCAGTGTCCCTATGGATGGAGACACTCCAGCCTGAACGTGCTGGTCCTCCCAGCGACCTGTGGCCGCCGGGGCGGGCTGGGTAGCATGGCCAGGGGACAGCCACCCCCGTGTGTGGGGACAGCCACCCTCGTGTGGGACACTGTGTGTGGGGTCCCCGGCTGTCAGTGGGGTGCCCCAGCTCTGCATGTGGGGTGACTGGTTCGGTGCAGGGTGCTCCAGATTCCTGTGCAGGGATGCCGTGCTCTGTGCAGTGTGTCCCGGCTTCATACGTGGTATCCCAGGTCCATATGGGAT